AGAGTGTTATGAAATAATGAAATTCCAGAGAAAAATACACAGCTTATCTGGGGAGAAGATCTTCTTAGAAAAAAACCTAATGGCAAGTTTCTGGATCATTGAACAAGTCAATTTCTTTCATCATCTGAAATTGATAGGAATTACTTAAATTTTTCTCAACAGCCCCAAAGTCAAAATTGTAAGTGATAGAAGCAGACAAAACTGCTTTCTAAATCACACTGGAATAGATAGAAATTTTTCAGTGAAACAGATAGAAATTAATAATTTAGAAAACATACTTGTATGTACACATACATCCAAAGTTCACAGATTGAAAGAGCTTGAACACTTGAGATTAGTAATTTTGATAATTGCAAAAGGAGGCACTGCATATTCATGTTCTACTGAAAACATATTACAAATATTTTCTAGACAGTAAGAATTACAGGAAACACTGAAGCTTATTTGGTTCATGTACCTGACATCCTACTCTTCATATGACCCTAGAGTAAGTATTTCCTGTCTATTTTAATAAAATAAAAGATTACAAACTTTAATAAAAGAAAACTGGGGGTTGTCTTTCTGAAAATTGACTTTTAGCAGCAAAAAAAAGGAAAGTAAAACAGAAACTGCTAAATCACTTTATTATTATTAATTATTTGAAATCTGATGCACAAGTAGAATTTTAAGTTGTCTACTTTTATCTATCCTTTCACTTTGCCACTTTTTTGTTGGAAACAAATCACAATACTTTTTTCTTTTCATTTCAATAACTCATCTAGGCTTACATGATTATACAGAAAGAAACCGAGGACTTACCTTCTGTCAACACAGACTATCTAATAGCATGTTTATCTTCTAAAACATAAGAAAACGTTTTAACACAGTTATTGCTGCAAATGGCTGGGAAAACACCTCCAATGTATTGTCATATTGGGTAATTTCTTATTTCTACCCCCCTCCTTCCATTCTGTTTGTTCTTTACACTGCTTTTTTATAAGTATAGAAGTCTATATAAACTCATTACTATCCAAGGAAGGAGAAAAGCTTTCTAAACTTCATAAGAAATGAAGTACTTTATGTGCTTTGCTTATACTTCACAGGATGCTAATATCTGAAAAACAAAGTTAACTGCACTCATTCTTCCTATACTAGGATTTCTAGAAGGCAAGATAGAAGATGGACTTTGAGTATGGAGGTTACTAATATTTCTTCCTCAATTTATAGAAAGTTCCTCATCACAATTCCCTGTGCAACAATAGCTAAAGAATTGAGATTCTAGTTGAAGAGGTAACTAAAATTTTAGAGATACGTAAGGTAAAAGGTGATGACATCAGAAATCAAAGACTTATCCTAACAGTCTCTTTAGGGTTTCACAGTATTCGGATCAAGGGAAACAAAGAGATTAATGAACTGATCTTTATAAGGTTAAAAATAATCCAAAGGAAAATGACTTTAAGTCAATCTTCAATTATCAAAGAGAGAAGTAATTTTTCTGATCTGTTGTTCCTTTCCCTTCTCTAAAAACTTTAGACCCATCTGGAATAAAGAGGCAGAGAGAATCAAGATTAGCTTTCTCACACTGTTTTCAAGTTATAAACTAAACTTCTCAAGGTCCAGATACTAAAAGAGAATATAGGCATAAAAGTGTCAGGTCTTTCATAAGTATCTTCCATAGAGGTTGCTTACGCATAAACAGCAAGTAGAAGATAGAATAAAATCTCTCAGGGAGCATTTATTCTGTCCAGGATCAAGTATGCTATCTATACATGCTAAGATACTTGATCCTCAATATGCATCTTACTACATACAATATGGTTGAAAAACAAGTTTGAAATAAGAACAAAGAAAAAAATTTGCTTTCCTTAAGAAGTAGATCACACCAAAAATACTACGTCTGTTTACAACTGAATGAAGTGGGAACTGAAGAAGAGGGGGGTAGATGTGGAGACAGTGGAAGGGTGTATCCTGTGAAAGTGAAAAGCTGAAATATTAAAACAGCCTAACTATACCTTTTCAAAATGTTCATGTTGGCTAAATACTTGAGAGGTAGAAAGAAAATGCTGACTTACATTGGGCAATAGCAATAATAATAATAATATTTCAACATAGCTTAAACTTGTAGTAGAAAAAGCGTTTAAGGGAAATAATTATCTTAAGGACTCCTTCTCCAGCAGAGCATCTGGTGGATTTGAACCGTGTACCTTTGGAATTGCAGTACAGCTTCTTGCCGCTAGGCCACCAGCGCTCCTCTGATAGTAGAAAAAGAGTTTAAGGGAAATGATTATCTTAAGGACTTCCACTTTATTCATTAAATAAATCTCCCCGGAGTACTTTGCAACTCTCTATAGTTCTATAAACTATCATTTTAATCTGCTCAGACCTCTTACAACCATTAGTCTACACCTCTGCTGTTAGTTGAAAAAAAATTGGGGGAAAATTCCAGAAATACTAAAATGAGTTTTTCTCAGTTTGAGCTCCATGTTTCCAAGGATTTAATTCATTTGCTTCTCCCACTCCCAAGTTTCTTATTTAAAAACAATATTCTATAAGTGAAAGATGCTTTATCTAATTATTGTCATGTTGAAAAATGTACAATCAGGGAGCCTAACCCTGTGCACAGACACTCTTACTGGGTGAACCTCCCTGTTAGAAAGAATGAATCACATTATAGAATCACGTGTAATGCTATTATATGAATGTGTATCAAGTTTCTAGCTTTTGGTCAAAGGAGAAAAAAAATATCAGAATCAAGTTCTCTGAACAGATGGCAAATTACCATACAAAACTGTTTAGATCAAGAAGCTCTTTCCAGGTAATGCCCCTTTCACTTCATTCTAGCTATGGTGATCAGCAGGCTAGCACCAAATTTTAGTCACATCTGTGACTAAACAAGATCAATTTCTTAACTCTTTATTTGCTTCTAAATACATTATTTACGTCGTAAGCCATCATCAACTACATTACTGATACAAACACTATCGCACAAATGAGACTCTTCTCAGGGTCCAAACTAGGGTCAGAATTCATTGCTTTTTTTCCTATTCTATTTTAACAATTTTTCTATAGGAAGTTGGGCTTATTAGCTACATTATTCCCTACATTAATATTTCTAACAGTAATGATTTAAGATACCGAGGGATAGTCCTACACTCATTCGAGGCTGACGGTGGTAAGTAAATTACTGTAATCACCATGCCCCTCCAGCACCCAAGAGTCACCCATGGAAGAACCATAACCAGAGATTTAGAAAGGTTTTTTTGGTCTACAGGAGAAAATGAAGGGAAGATTTCCTAAATGCCCTCTTGTAATGATACAACAGACTCAGTCTTTGATGAACTAGTATTTTTATAGCTCAATTAGCCATGTGACTCCGGGGAAGTTACAAAATGTTTTATGCAAGAATGGGTCTCTTAGAATTTTAAGACAGAGAAAATTAGATGGATCTGCTTTCCCCCCTTTCTTCTTAAATTACTCTTTTCCTCCCTCAAAGACCACTATGGCTGTAATGGTGTATCCATTAAGTGGAAAACTCATTACTATCAATTATTTGTAGACTATTAGATCAGAGTGTTTCTCCAGCAAAACATTTCCTTCCCTGTCCACTTTTGTTATAGGTACAGCTAAGGTTACAGAACTTGATGGAATTTAGAATGCAATGCAAGTAATGCCAAAACATGAATGAGAAAGAAAGAAAAGTGCCATGTTAAAAAAAGGGGGGGGGGAGAAAAGTCATTGTACCTCACCTAGTTCAAAAAGGGGACTCAATCACATTTACAACGCTAGCAAGCCTCAAGCTCTATCTCCCAAACTCGACTTAATTTTAAAGGAACTAATCCAGGAAGCTTGTTCCCAACTCTGATAAGAAAAGCCCCAAATGAATCTTGGTTACTTTAGACAAGCTTAATGCTGAAGTCTTCAGCATACCTTTCCCTATTTTGGTCATGATCATACTGTCACAAGAAAACAGACTATGACTAAAACCTATAAACATAGATCTGCGGCCACATGTCTTTCTAAGCAGTCCAGCACTTCAAAGCCTACGATCCTCAAGCATTACATGCAGGGTTCGACCACCACCAACTGGAAAGGAGGAAACAACATAAGCAAAGTACGCCGAGGACTGCACTGTCTGCATATAACGAGTTATCTGGGGAAATATTAAGAGTTCAAGAAAGAAATCATATTCTAAACTGTCTTTGTGAATAAAGAATTCTGACTGACTCTGGAAGATTTGGGAGCTTTCCTGCAATTATTCTGACTAAATATTGCATGTCTTTGACTTAAAGAAACCTAAAGGGGTCAGTTATTTTTAAATTATTAGAACTAATTTTCAAAATGGAAGTTTAATTTGCATCTAATCTGATTTACCTGTGTCATTCAAGAATCAGCTAGGAAATACTAGAGGTGAAGACTTACTCCAAGCACTTAAAACATCTTTGTCTCTGTTCTTCACTTGGCCCTCCCAAATATCTACAATCTACTATTGCAAGATTTGTCTCCCAGTCTTAATTACATGCTGGTAAGGATTATGTCACTTTGGAAAAGTCTTTCTACAAATTTTTAGCATCTTTCTTCTTGAAACTTTTTATTTCATGTAAAAAAAAGCTCTGTCATTCAAAGAACAGAAGTTGACTGAATGACAAAATAATACACACACACATGCATTTGTGATATAATATGGAGCACATGGAAAAAATTGTGACAGTAGGGAGGAATAAACTTTATTGGCCCACAGAAAGGATGAGAGAATTAGGAGTGGCTAGGGGAAGGAATGAATATGGGTGGGAAAATGAAAATTGAATGATTTAGAATGTGCAAATTGATTTGGTAGCCTCCACCACTCAATTTAGAAATGGATACGTACAGTAAGATGCAGATAGTCTACAGTGATTTTTCACATTGTAGTTGACACTACTTGTACCAGTTCTAGCATTAGTAAGTCACCAAAGTCAGGCAAGGCTCTCTGGTTAGTGCAAACAAGGTTTTCCATCCTGGGCTGCAGTACGGCCCGCCAGTGCTCAGAAGGCATGCTTGTGACGAACTCGCACACTTTCCAGTTCCCCACCTCCAATGGCGGCCAGGGTCTCCAGCCTGCTTAAACGTTCCAAGCTTCTTCCCAGAACTTCTTCTAGCCGACTGCGCAACACCTGGGCCCCTTCCAGTTCCACCTGTAGAGTTCGGTCTCTCTCAGAGCTGATTAAACATGCCACATGGAAGGAAAATCGATTAGTAACCAAATGCAATGAGTTTGGAGATACATATATATGTTTCCAAAGAGCCGTCAATGTCACTCTAAGCTGTGAGCCTTTCTAGCATAGTTGCCTCCAGAATAAAATGAACGCAGTCTTTGTCATGGCATTTATGTTCACCGTTGGTAGATTAGGACTGCCCACACCTTGCTTTAGGCTTGTTTCTTTATGCCCAATCCTGGGCAGTTTCACATAAAATTGCACATCCCAATTTTATCTTATACATTCACAGCCCACTTAAGAATTCCATTACCTAAAAGTTTTACATTATAATAAACCAAAATCTCAGAAAAATGAAATGTAAATTGAAGCAAGACCGAGACAAACAGGACTACTCCCGAGGATATCTGCTTTCTCTTTTGTTAACAAGCTAAACAGTGTGCTGGAAGGAAAACCGGTTTACAGATGACACAAAGGTCTTTTAAAAATGAATATGATTGGACAGTCCAACTTTTCTCTGCCTCCACTTCATTAGGCTAGAAAGAAAAGAATATTAAAATAAGATGTAGGAAACAGAAATAGGAACTAGTCAGGGAAACAAAGAGAGAAAAAAAAATCTTGAAAAGGCTATAAAATGGACCAGAAATATAAAACATGTGTCACCAAAAAATCAAGAGCTACAAGCTCCATCTATCGTGATGTTTATTACCACCCCAGGTTCACGGATACGCAATAACGATCAGTGCTGTGCAGCCTTACTCTCCCAGCAGAAGAAGAGTGACCAACAGGGCAGGGAGCACAGAAAGGCCAGGAACTTACACACACGGTCATCACATGCCAGGCACTGCTTCCGATTTTTGACAGCTTTCCATTTAATCTTCGCAATAGCTAAGTAATTAGGTATTATTCTTGATTTAAGATTGAGAAACCGACGCTCAGAGACATACACACAATAGAAGACATATGGAGTTGTCTCAGCCTCATCCCTGCTTCCTTTTCCTCCGCCCTTCAGAACTGTAGGAATCTGCACCAGAGGACTAATAAGCAGGAAAGCCATTCATTCACCTACCTCTCCGGATGGGCATGGAACTTCACCAGGCTGCTATAGAGCTGCCTCTCTGCTTGCAAGGCTTCGTTGAGGCGACTCCTTTCATCTGCCAGTCCTTCCAGCATCAGCAGCAACTGAGAAAAGAAAGAAAGAAACAACATGCAAATGGTAACATGAAACATGGAGCTGCAGTTAATCCTGACAAGAAAGCAAGCAAACAGAGGTGTCTGCATGGGACAGTGAGTGAAACACTTACTTATGTTTCCTGTACTATTTTGCAGTTTTCAAATTAATGAAACCAAAACTGTGTAGGTTCTTTTTTACTTTAAGTCTTAAAGCACTATAAGGCAGAGTTCAAACACATGGACAAAAAGAGGAAAGAGGGGCGAGAGAAGGCAGAAGCAGAGCAAAGTGGTTCAGGGAAAAGAGCAGGGAGAGAAAGAAGAAGGAAGGGTGAAGGGGAAACGTACACAGTCACACTTAAGAGACGATCACTCACTCAACACTTACTGAGCCCCTTCTATGTATCGGGCTCTGCTCTCAGTTCTAAAGAGAAGGTTATTAACACGTTGCCACAAATGATGGCAAAATGTGTTTCTAAGCACGGCCGTCAATTTAAAAGTGTGCAGCAATGTGTTAACCTAGTGGGAGAAACGAATGCATGCCAGTCACGTGTCACTGTGAGCTGTGGTGAGTGCCATCAAGAAGCTGAGCACAGCTTTTGTGGGATCTGCTGTAGTGAAGGCAGGAGCTTAAAGCCAGACTAGAGTGAGGTGCACAGTTTCTGAGAGAGGATAACAGTGACAGATAATTCAGGTAAGTAACTGTTTGAAAAGTGTGGCATCCAAGAGAGTTTAACTCTCATGAGGAGATGATTCAGAGAAATTTGGGGGCAAGGCAGACTGTTCATCTTTTCTCCACATCCTCCACCCTAAGTCAGAGAGGCTTGACTGTGGTTAAAGGCAGATACACAAGCAGGTTTATTTGACAAGGAAAATTGACAGGGTGAGTCTGAGAACTGCTGCTCCCTTCAGGACTACAAATATCAGAAAAGGCATCTATGGCTACGGTTGACTAAGTTAAGAACACCAATTCCCTATGAAATACCAGCAACGGACGTTTGTATCAATAACTGGGAGGACAGACTGTTACCTTTTTCATGGTCTAAGTAAGGCGAGCATTCCACTTACTTGTTGTCTCCGGTTTCCTGACGCTTCCTGACCCTGAGATTCTACTGCAGCAACTTTTTCCCGAAGGAGTAAGACTTCTTGGGTCAGGCGTTCCATAGCTGGTATGTCTTCGGGATCAACAAGTTGCATTTGCAGGTCCTGAAAATAGAAAAGTAATACGATTATTGTGTAAATAAGAATTATTACATAATCATTATTAGTCTATAAATACACTGCATTAATTAATAAAACTAATATAACATTATAAAAGTAATACAGCACTATTCAGCAAAGGAGCGACTGCTCCTGAAGGAGTCGGCTGGGCTTCCAAATGGCTTGGTGATAATGACAATTTCATTATGGAATCTTTGCAACTATCATACAAGTCAAAAGGAATAGGAGGCTCAAGCTGTGTACCAAAGAACTAAGCACTTGATCAAGGGACTAATTATTTTTTAAGATCCCCTCTGGTACCATGAGCTGCCCTCATTGGCAGTGCTCTTTAAAAAGCTTTCAAAGACCTTGATGAGGTCCTCTTTAATCTGGATGTTCCTGGTCAAGGACTCCATGTCGGCAGCCTGCACTTGGAGCTCCTCCTCTTGCACAGCGACCATGGACTGTAAAGCAGAAAGTTCCATCTGTGGGGAGAAGAAATCTCAAAGTCAGTGGGCAGAGGAAGCACTATCTGTCACATTTCCATTTTAACAATGGGGCAAAAATGGTTTCCTATAACATATCACTGCATTAGCCAGTACTGCAAAGGAAATCTGGAATGTGAGCAAATAAACAAATGCAGTGTGCTACCAAAGCTGTAGCTGTTGTTTTTTTAAAGGTGCCTTCTGTGTGTCAGTGCTGTGAAACACAATCGTTGCTGGTTACTATTAAACCAATTCTGGCCCATAACAACCCCATGCTCCAACGCAGAACAGCCCCAGAGGGTTTTCTGGGCTGTAATCTTTACAGAGAAAAATGTAAGACCTTTCACTCATGAAACCACTACATATGATACTGTGTTTCATAAGGAGTCCCAGTGGTGCAGTGGTTAAGCATTGGGCTCTACCAAAAGATCAGCTGTTTAAAGTCACCAGACAATTAGGGGGAGAAAGATGTGACAGTCGCCTTCTGTAGAGATTCACAGCCCTGGAACCCCGACGGGGCAGTGTTTCTCTGTCCCACAGAGTCACTATACTCGATGACAATGGGTTTTGGATTTTGGTTTAAACAGATAACTACACATCCATATTGTGTTTCAGGCGGTGTTGTGAATGTTTGTTGCTGAGTCTATTCTGAGTTGTGTCACCTGTCAGGGATTGAATTGTTGTCCCCCTCAATACATGTCTGTAATGATATAATGTAGAAGCTATGTAAAAATCCCTGATGATGATAAATCAAACAGTGGCAAAAGGATTAAAGATGGAACACACCATCCATTAATCATATCACAGAGAAAAGTAAGTCCTCCAAGAAAGAATGTCAGAATCAGAGCATGTCTTTTTAGCCTCGGGAGCCTAAATTAAGAAGCTCCTTGACACCATGAAAGGCTAAGGACACATGAAACTCTCCAAGGACCAAACGGCCTACAGATGCTGAAGGACACAAAGACTTTGCTCCAGAATAGACGTGGAGAAGGGAGCCTTTCCTTAGAGCTGGCACTCTGAATTTGGACTTCTAGCCTCCTAAACTAGAAGAGGATAAATTTCTGTTTGCTAAAACCATCCTCTTGTATCTCTGTTACAGCAGACCTAGACCAGTAAGACCAGGGCTCTGGCTCTGGTCACCTAGTGGCAAGAAGCTGTGCTGAAATCCCAAAGGCACCCGGCTTAAATCCATCAGCTGCTCCAAGGGAGAAGGATGGGCGGTCTCCTCCCGTGTGATTGACTGCCGCTGAAAAGCTGCCAGAGGGTCAGCTATGGGTCAGTTCTGACTCGACAGTACACAACAACAACAACAACAACAACAGACAATTAAGACAGCGATCCCATGTGAGTAGTGTGGAACTGCTCTGTAGGGTCTTCAGGGCTGTGAACTTTTAGAAGAATACCAGCTCTATCTTCTAAGAGACGTCTGGGTAGGTTTGAACCACCAATTTTTCAGCTAGAATTTAGCTCTTTGCATTCTCTATTTATGGCAACAGCAACACTTAACGCTACAAATTGAAAGGTTAGTGGTTCCAACTCATTACCATAAAACCAGAAGAAAAAAATTGGTGCTCTGAATCCAAGAAGATTGTTGTTGTGTACCGTAGGGTCGGAACCAACCCATAGCTGACCATCTGGCAGGTTTTCAGAGGCAGTTAATCACATTGCAGGAGACTGCCCATCCTTCTCCCACAGAGCAGCTGGTGGCCTTGAACCGTGTGCCTTTGGGATTGCAGCATAGCTTCTTTCCACTAAGCCACCAGAGCTCCTCCATAAAGACTATGACCAAGAAAATGGTACATGCAGCTTGACTTTATCATGTGAGGGCACCAAGATACAAAAACAATTCTATGTCACCTAACAAGAACACACTTTATTTGTAAGTATGCATTTTAAATGAATACTTTAGAAAAATTTAAAAAATAAGGAAATAAAATAGGTATGACAAGTAAAAACAGAAGGCATGCAAGCTAGTTTGAAATAAGACCATATGTCCTGAAGGAAGCAGTACTTTTCCCCTTAAATTTAAACAATATAAGCTATAAGCAATAGAAGAAATTGTTATTTCTCTATCTCCTAACTGCTTCAATGTGTTATCACTGTATGGGCTCATGATGGCTTAATCCTATGCAAAGTCATTTGATGGCTTCTGTCTATGTGGCTTGTTAGGATGAATATTCTAGCATTTTCTACTTTGCAGAAGTTTAATTAGTTTAATTCCTGACCTGTCTCCACCCCTTTATTCACTCAGCCCCAGGGAAGTCAAAGAATTTCTCTTAATGGAACACAGGAAGAAAATCCAGGCATGCTTGACTTAACCTCACCCTTCTGCTTCATGAGTCAGCTGTCTCCAGGAAACCTGTTCTAGTTACTGCTTCTCCTAATGCCCTCGGCTCTTCCCACCCTGAGGTATGGTCTACCAAATCCCAGTGTTCAGTATCGCCAGGGTGCAGGTCGGGTCGTAAGGGTATTCAGCTCTGGGGTTGGGCTAGAAGACCCAGTGGCCCTTGAATTGAATTCTCTACCTAAGCCTTTATCAGTAACAAAGTTAATAGGACACCACATTATCTGCCATTAACTACTATTTCTCCATTTGTTCAGATCCTGGGTATGGAAAAAAGGGAGCTCTGCTGGCCTAGTGTCAAGAAGCTGTGCTGCAATCCCAAAGGCACGCAGTTTGAAGCCACCAACAGCTCCACAGAAGGAGGATGGGTAATCTCTTCCCGTGCTATTAACTGCCCCTGGAAACCTGTTGGAGGGTTAGTGATGGGTCAATTCCAACTCTGTGGTACACAACAACAGGGAACTGCATCATTATCCTCCCAGGTATTTGGTTCACTGCAGAAAAATAAAGACATATGGAGAAAAAGTATTTTAAGTATGGTAGAAGTTTGCAGTCAAATAGACACAGGCCTTAAATCCTGGCCTAGTCTCCATAACAAGGCACTCAAACTGATCCTCAAATTTCCTTAGCTATAAAGCAGCAATCATACCTCCTTTGTAGTGCTGAATGAGAATTAAAGAAAACATATTTCAAATCAACTCTTTGTGAGATTTGCTGCCTTTGAAAAACCCACTGGAGAGTCAGCTATGAGTTGGTCTCAACTTGATGGTACACAACAATAACAACATTATCCAAGTATACAGATTTCATGTCATAGATCTAATTATGGAAAAGACATAGACAAAAACAGAATAGCTAATGAAAAAACTGAAGGAAATGGGAAAGATCTGGTGTAAAAAACAATGTATTTGAACTTTGTAAACAAATCAGTAAAAAAATTTTAAAAGAAAGAAAAAAACAAAAAAACAAACCCAAACAACTGAATAGCTAGACAGATTTGTGAATTTAAAAACCAAGTCAGGAACCAATGGTACTGATCAATCTATAGCAGATGCCAACTAACATAAAGGGTTTTAGTTGCAGTCAGTAGTTCTATGCTATGGCTGTAACATTTATTTTACATCAGAGTTGGACACAGAACTGTAAAAGGCAGATGAAGAGATTCTGAAAGGCTGAGAGCTTCTTGTAAGAACATTGATGTAAATACCACTGCTAGAAATATTTCATGCACAAGAATGAAGGAAAACGTTCTGTTCCGTGAAATAATTTCTTAGGCAGAGTTTTTGGAATCACAAAAGACCTGGGTTTAAATCTTAGCTTTGGCATTATTACTATGACCTGGTGTTGTTGTTGTTGCTGTTGATTGCCATCGAGTCAAGCATGACTCATAGTGACCCTATAAACAAAAGGCTTGAAGCCTTTCTCTAACTATCATCATTTCTCAAAGTTCAAAGAGTTTCCAAAGGCATGCTGTTTAGGAAGTGAATGCCACTCCTGCTTCAACTACGACCAAGCTTCATGTTTATTAAAAAATAATAATAATCATCAGGTTTTAGCTTCTTCATCCATAAATTGGAATCAACACCATTTACTCATAGAGAGCTGTGAGTATCAGCATGGATACATTCTCTGTACCTGCAGTGCCCTGCACATAGGGAACACTACAAGGATCACACTCACCTTTCTCCTGTCCAGTCTATCTAAAAGCTAATCTTATGAATCTAATGTTACCAGTCTAAACAGAAATCATATATACGTTCACTGCTAGCGGGGTGATTCTGACTCATTCCGATCTTCCACTGAGTTTCTGAGGATGCAAATCATAACAAGAGATGTCTCTTCATCTTTCTCCCATGGAGCAAGTAGTGAATTTGTATCATCAGCAATCATATAACATTTCATGTTTTAACAAGTGTTATTATTATAATTATTTTACTCCAACTGGTAATGGGTAGAGAAATCTGTTATATGACATTTCAAATGTTTTAATAATCCTTATTTCTAAGAAAACAAGAGCATCATGGTGAAACTATGAATGTATTTATGAAGCAATTTCTATTATTCTCAAAAAAAGGTAGTATCTTGCCTTTTAATCCAGGTATTATACATGGAAGACATATTGCACTAGAAAAGTTTGCAGTTAGGGACCTCTCCAAATTATTGAGGAGTAATGATGTCAGTTTAAGGACTAAGGATGTCTGATTCAGGCCATGGTCTTTCCTGATCACTTGCTATGTATCTGAGAGCGGGATAATGAATAAGGATGGTAGAAGAAGAACTGACATCTTTGAGCTGCGGTGTTGGAGAAGAGCACTGAACATCCCATGGATGGCCAAGAAAACAAACAAATATGTCCTGGAGAAAGTGCAGCCAGATTGCTCTTTGGAGGCAAAGATGATAAAGCTTTGCCTCACATACTTCAGGCTATGGAGGAGCTATTCCTTGGAGAAGGACATGATGCTCTGAAAGGCAGAAGAAGAAGAAGAGGAAGATCCTCAACCCTGTGGAGTGACACAGTGACTGCTGCAATGGGCTCTAGTGTGTCTAGTGTGAGGACGGCACAGGACAGGACAGGGTCCAGATCTGTTGTTCATAGGGTCACTATGAGTTGTACTTGACTCAATGGCACCTAACAACATTATACATGGAAAACTGCACTTTTTTAAACAAAAACTATTTTGGATGGAAAATATTAGAAATTTATAACTAGGCTTGGCTTAAACTCACCCGACTTTCTCTTTCTTTTTTAGCCATGAGCTCAAGTTCCTCTTTGGCATTACTCAGTTCTTTTTCCATGCCTGCAACAGTATCAAGGTCTCCTAGAAATGAACACATGAGTTAATTTTAATTGATATTAACACAGTATGACCAAAGAATACTATCTTAGCTCTCAAGAATTTATTCTGTAGGCACTTTTCAACTACATCTCTTTCCCTTCCATGGTTATTCTCTGCATCATTAGTTGTGTTAGCAAAATACTATAATCAGCCTATTTGCCTATACAGAGAAGGTAGAATACACCATATTAAAAAATAAAGTTATAAGCAGATATGAAGTGACTTTCAGGGTGTCAAGTAAAACTAAAATGAGTTAGGTACAAAAGAATACATCGAACATAACATATTTTGTATCAACAAAAGGGGATAAATCACAACACACACACACACACACACACACACACATACATGCATACATGTTTAATCCACTTATTTTTGCAAAAAGAAACATAGTGAGGATAAACCAGAAATGAAGCTGGTTACCTAAAAGGGACTACAGACACAGGAGAGAAGGGGTAAAGAAGCAGATGGGACTATCTGAGTTTTGAACCATGACAATATTTTCTCTTTTAATGTATAAAGTTAGTATAACAACAATGAAGTAAAAAAGGCTAAAATTAGATATTAGCACAAACAGTAAATCTATATAGTACCCAAATGATAATGAAAAACATCAGTCCAAATAATATTCTCAGTGGTATTATGAATATTGAAAAGGAAAATTTTCCTT